GCATTGATTAAACAATAAAACTAATACTTACCCCAAGCTCATGTGCGGCTGTGATCAGTTCCCCTGTGAAAAAATAATGTAAAACCAATAATTACTATTAGAAAATGACACTCCTCCAAAGTTTTCAAAATCCAAATGCTTGCACTGGGGTTTTGCATTAATTTGACTGGATAAAACTGTAAATCTGTAGAGATTTAACAGCATGAAACAGTCTAAGGATATTTTCTCCCTAAGGTCTTAATGAACAAATGATCTTTGATAGTTTTTAATAACTGGTCAGTGGAAATATAGGTGAATTCTGGTTTTTAAAAAGGGCTCATTTTTCTGAGTTGTACACACTTGCAAATATATAAAAACCCTTAGAGAGTATTAGTGTAACACGCTGTATTATCCCTCCAGAAGTTAGTATAAAAATGTCTACAAAGACACAACTTCATGATAATGTAAAATGTGCAGACATCTGAGGTTTGGACACTCCATAGAATGTACCATCCTGCCCTACACTGGCATTTGAATGCCTTCTCTACATTAATTAGTTGGATATCTTTAAATGATCACCGAATACTTATTAGCTCCAGGTTATTTTGGTAAGCTCTGACTACCATAATACATTTCTTCAAACCACTAAATCATTATATTACTTACATAGCCCTTTGTAATTCCTCACCATCAGTGATTATTTCTAAAATTATGGGGGATCCCTGGGTGGCGCAGCGGTTTGGCGCCTGCCTTTGGCCCAGGGCCCGATCCTGGAAACCCAGGATCGAATCCCACATCAGGCTCCTGGTGCATGGAGCCTGCTTCTCCCTCTGCCTGTGTCTCTGCCTCTCTCTCTCTCTCTGTGTGACTATCATAAATAAATAAAAATTAAAAAAAATAAAATAAAATTATGATGCAGGAATTCAATGCTTATTTGTTAATATTTTAAGTATCCAGAGCACTCTCCGGGGACTATTTCTGACTCATTCCTATGTACTGTACTATATGGTACAATGTAAGAAATCGATGATGGCTTATGAAAGTTACTAGTATCTATTAGGAAATGTATTAATGTCCATTTTCTATCCTTCAATGGGTATCAATGCTCCTTTAATTTCTACTGTCTCAGTCACGATGTAGATCTTTACCCTCTGGCCTGGATGACAGCAAGAGCTTTGACCAGTTTTCTACTTCAATTCATCTTCATACTGAAATCACCTCTTGCCACTCCACTGCCCCAGAACAGGTCGGATTGTATTGTTAATCCATAATTTCTCAATGGCTGCTCTCTGCTCGGATTCCTCAGCACAACATGCTAGCCCTCTAATGGCTTCAAGGTCCCTTTACGAGGCATATATCAATGAAACCTATGCTCACACCAGTCAAATCTGATTACCCACTGTTCCTCTGGAATGGTTCTTTTGCACCTCTTATCACTCATTTTCTCACCCAGTATTCTCTCCTAAATCCTTCCAAGGCCTAGTTCAATTGCCACCTTCTCAGTGACACATTTCCTTTGACATACCCCTCCCCAACCTACCCCATTAGAATTAATCACTTCTTCCCCCTCCATAGAACCTGCTCTAATCTCTACTTAGCACTTATTTAGATGGCCTCTTATTCTGGTCGTTTTCATTTCTGTCTCTTCTACTAAGTTGCAAATATTACCTTACCCATTTCAGGGGTTGGTCAAGACACCACCACTGGATCTCCCTCCTCTGGTCACACAAAGAAACTAATCAAGTCCTGCACACACAGGTTGACTAAGACAAATCATATTGTCATCCTTGCTACTCATACACCCCTATCATAGGGTAAATGACTGCTTGCATCATGGAAGCCCTGTAAGGGCTCCCAAGACAGACACTACTCACCTAACTCAATCACTTAAGGACAACTTTTAATTTTTCTGGAGATATGCAAAGGCGCTTTGGAACCCAAAGACACTTGCTGTATCCTAGACTTTAAAAAAAAAAATTGTTTGTGGTCTAAAAATACTTAAAGCTCACTTCCCGTTGTAATTATAAGGACATCTTATAGTTTTACTCCAGAATGGATTAGCTTGTCTGCAGTCCCAAACTGTTTCAATTAGCTTTTTGATATTTCCGTATGGTATGATGAAATATAGTTAAATTCAAAATTTAAAAGCCATTAATTACTCTCCTCCAAGTAAAATGTATTTAGAATTGCATTTAAGATTAAGAAAAATGGCCTTTCTCTAACTTCTTTTTACTATTAAAAAGTCACAATGTTATTCTTTATTAGAGTTCTGTTGGTATAAAAATCGGGAATGTGACAAACTTCCATCACCTACTCTTATCAAATGTTAAACTAAAATATAAATAGAAAAAAATGGCTACTATTCAAAGTCTACAAATGTATCCTTGAAATAAAGCTAAAGGGAAACATTACTTTTAAAACTGAGTATGAGAAAAAGAATGTGACTAGGAAGGGGAAAAGAGCCTCCTGGATGATTATTCCCAGCCCTTTACCCTAGGGTTTCCTGAATTTAAGTCCTACTACAACCTGCACCAGAATTACCTGGATGTTTTAAAATGAAGATTCCTTGACCTAACCTACCTATATTAAATTTTTTTTTTATTTTTTTATTTATTTATGATAGTCACACAGAGAGAGAGAGAGTCAGAGACACAGGCAGAGGGAGAAGCAGGCTCCATGCACCGGAAGCCTGACGTGGGATTCGATCCCGGGTCTCCAGGATCACGCCCTGGGCCAAAGGCAGGCGCCAAACCGCCGCGCCACCCAGGGATCCCTAACCTACCTATATTAAAACCCTCTGGCATTGGTGCTCAAGTTCCCCCAAGCAATTTTGAAGTATATTCAAGTTTGAGAATTACAACCTGAGATGCAAAAGGGTGACAAGCTCAGAGTTGTGAGATGTTTAACCTTTACAAAAACCCAGCTCCTTCTGTATTGTATTTTTTATATTAATTACACGATTATATTCTCATATATAAAGTCTGTTAAAGACGGTATCCTTAAAATACATAAACACCTAAATAAGCTACTTTATTTTTCCCAAGAATAACAAATAGATGTGTAGGTGAGATGCCCACACTCTCCTTCAACAAATCATGAGTATTCCCGCCCATAAATCAAGTACGTGTATCAAATAGTGCAAAAGACAACTTTGGCAGGGCTACACAATGTGATAGATTTATGGAGTATAATTCAAGAAGAAAAATACATACTTTATATTGGTTTTGAGATGTGTTCTGTTTATTGATAAAAAATATATTTCATCAACACAACATTCAAGGAGGACAATACTTTCAACATATAAACAAGATTACCAAAGACAGGATTATACAATTTTTTCTGGAAATACTTGGAAAAGTTTATTTATCATTCCCAACAATGAACACCAAATATTAGAAGCCACCAGCATTTAGCATCAAACTAAACCAATCAGAACACCTACAAAGTGCGGTAACTCAATGTGGGTAACTTTATTCTACTGGGAAAAAAATAAGAGGCAGTATTAATAAAGACAGCAATTAGAGATTTTAAGTAGATTCTAAACATCACTATATATGTGATGATGGATTTAGCAAAGAACTTAGAGCAGAGGTTAAGCCAGTATGTTCTAAAGTCCATCTACTTGAGTTCTTTCCTTGACTGCCCCTACTTTCTGTGTGATTCTGGACACCGCGTAGCCTTAGTTTTGTCAGCCACGAAAGGGAGATACTGATAGTACCCGCCTCACAGGGCTAGTAAGTGGATTAAATAAAGCAACAATCCAGGTAAAGCACTGGCAACAGTGCCTGGCAGAGTAAGTGCTCAGTGAGTGTCATTTTTATTCATCCTACTGGAAAACTTCAGGCTCGGGGAACCATGGTAATTGTCAACGTTTTTTTCTTTTTCTGTTTTAAAGGTACAGAACTCCTCAATCTTTGAGTCATGTTCTCCACTGTCAAAACTCCCACAAACGCTGGTTATTTCTATTATGTAACATAAGCCTTGGGAAAAATGGTTAACTCTATTCCCGACTATACTAATGCAACACTGCTTCTACTTGTTCAAGAGGACCTGAAAGAAAAAATAAAAGCAAGGATGGTAAAAGGAACATCAAGGATCCTCAATGTGGCGGGTAGCCTGCCCCCAGTGATCCCCAACTCCTGGTGTTCCATCTAATCCTCTCACCCTGGGGCTGGTGGGTTGTGTTTACATACTCATTGCCAAGAATAAAACAGGGCAGTGGTGTATCCATCGCTTCCAAGATTAGGTGTATGTAAAGACAGAATGTCAGGCGAAGGTGGAAGGTGCCCTTTCTTCCTCTTCCCAAAAGAGTCAGCTTCCCCGAGAGACCCACGTGGCAAAGAACTGGACTGAGGTTGTTAAGAAGCAAATCCTCACCCAGGGTGAGCCCTGAGAAGCCCGCAGGCCCCTGCCCACGCCAGGACAACAACCCTGTCCTGACCAGCTAGCCTGCACCTGGGCTCCTGATGCACACGGAACGTGAGACCACTAACATCTGTTGTTTTAGGCAGCTAGATTTGGGGTCATCCTGTTACAAAGCAAGAGATAAGCAGTACATTTTCTTTCTTTTCTTTTTCCTTTCCTTTCCTCTTTCTTTCTCTCTCTGTCTTTTCTTCCTATCTATCTATCTATCTATCTATCTATCTATCTATCTATCTATCTATCTACAGTTTCACTACCTGAAGTTGGAGCACTACTGGCATCACTGGATGATCATTTAACTGGGCAGCAAGACAAAAACCCGAAAACAAACCCGGCTCTCGATCCTCATCCCGAGTATGTCAACCATCCCCGTTAACAAATACAGAACGACTGCTTGTGTGTCGTTAACCGGGCTGTGCTTTTCTTTTCAACGGAAGCAGTTTGCTTTAAGGCGCGGCTGGCTTCCACTCAGCTCAGTGTTCTCTCCGAAACACCCTGCGTGGCCGGTTCCTTCTCAACCTTCAGGCTCCCACTAGAATGCCCCGCTGGGAGGCCTTCCTCCCCGCCCCCCCAGCTACCCCACCTTTCCCTCCCGCCCTGTTTAGTCCGGGGTCTGGGTACCGTCTCCACACGCACTACAACACTCTCCACGACACCTGATCGCCGCCACTGTTACCCCTTTTGTCTGGAACACAACAAGGGCTCAGTAAGTAACATACCGGGGGGGGGAGGGGGCTAAAAAGAAACAAAGAGGAAAATTCGGGTCCCGAAAAAAAAAAAAAAAAAAAAGGCCTGCCCGAGTAGGGGAGGGTCGCTGAGTCCCAGCACGTGGAACCCAGCACAGCCCCTTCTCCAAAGCCGGAGAACTACAGGAACCCCGCTACAGGAATGGAAAACAGAGAAGTCGATCCTGCAAACGCAGAACCCCCGCGCTGAGCCCGGGCTGGCGGGCTGGGGGTGGGTGGGGGCGGGGGCGCGAGCTGAGCGGCCGGCCAGGCCGGCGGGAGGGCGGCCCTGAGATACTTTACCCGAGTCTCCCCCCGGCACCGAGGGGGGCAGCGTGAGGGTGAACACGGCGGCCACGGCGGCGAACACGGCCAAGCCGCCGCGCAGGCCCCCGGAGCGCCGCGGCCCCACCCGGGCTGCTCGCCCCCCCGCCGGGCCCCTGCCGTCGCCATGGAGACCCATGGGCCCCTGGGGCCCGGGGAAGGAGGCCGCGGCAGGCCCCAGGACTCCGGCGGCCCGGAGCTTCCCGGGCGAGAGGCGAGCGCAGCCCGCGCGGCGGCTTCCGGGTCGGGCCTCGCGCCCCTCGCCCCCGCCCCCACTCCGGGCCGCACCATCCTCCGCCGGGCGCGGGGAGAGGACCCGGCCCGCCTGCCACGAGGCGGCCGGGGGTTCTGCGGCAGCGCGCCACGCCGTGGGACCCGCGGGGTTGTAAAGGCCTCACAGTCGCCCGCCACGAGCCAGACCCTTCTTTTAAGAAAGCAAGCCCGGGCGCGCGGCTGCCATCTCTACGCCCTCCCCGCCTCCCCCGCCAGCACTGACTTGGTCGGGTCTGACGGAGAGAGCGGCGCCCAAACCCGGGTCGCTAGGGCCGCCTCTGCCCCCGCCGGTGTGGGGTGGAACTACACCCGAGGGCCGCGCCGGCGAGCCCGAGCCTGCGCTGTGCAAGAGCGCGCAGTGCGGCGCGTCCGTCGCGTGCCTGGTCCCTCCGACTTAATTGCAAGCCCGTGTGCGAACTATGGAGTCGCTCGGTATTAGAGATTAAAATCCGCTACTTGGTCTCTCTCTCTCTCTTTTTTTTCCGTGTACCTCGAGGAAAACTCAACTGATGAGTTGAGAAGCTTGAGTTTCGCCAATAATTCATAGGCCGCTAAAGTTGTCTCCTGCTTTAAGGAAGACGGGGTATTCGGGTGGAGCCGTGGCCACAGCCCCGCGGAGGAAACGCGCGCGCCGCGCGCTGGCCCCGGGTAGCAGCAGTGCGCAAAAGAGCGGGGACGGTCGTGCAGCCCCGGAGCACAGCTCATAGGGAGATTTTTTTTTTTTTTTTTTTTAGGCTGACATTTTACATTATTAGAGTAATTATTCTGGAGTGGAAGGGAAGGAGGGCATCCTCTGGAATGTCTCAAAATACACCAAAGCTTAGGGACAACCTAGAACGTGTCACAAGTGATCTGGCAGGAAGACCGTGTCTCCACTGTAGGGTGGGATACCTACACCTACCCACATAGGTTGGTGGTTGCTACCTTAGTCTTTCCCAGGTACTTACATATGTAACTTTGTCAGCCACGTGGGGGTTCCTGCAGGGCAGGGGCTGTGTGGCAGGCAGCTCTTAAAATAGCTCCCAATGATCCCCGGCCTGCGGCCTGCGGTGTTCATTCCTTTTTGTAATCCTTCCCCTGGTGTGGGGGCCAGAGCTCTCAGCAGCATGAGGCATGAGTGATGGATGTCACTTTGCAGATGAGGTTATAAAAGCCTGACTTCCACCGAGCCAATACAGGCTGCTTTCTATTTCTTTTCTGAAGGAGCATGCTAAGGATTAATACCATTTCCATCGTTTGCTCATGAGCTTTATAGAAAGATACATTTTTTTTTTTTAATCGTGGCAAATTACTTTCAGAAGGGCATAATTCCTTGCCCATGTACGGGCAGTAGAGATCAGTGTTGGAAGTAGGAATTCGGGAGTTCTCATGCAGGGATGAGAAGGATGAATAAATCACAGAGGCATAGTGTATTGAGGACAAGGTTAAGGTCAAGTATTAGCCCATATCTTCATTTCTGGAACAGCAGGAGAGGAGGAGAGAACATGGCAGAGGGTCATGTGTCCCAAGAAGCTAAAGAAGAAATGGTGACAGTGAAGTATATGTGGTCGGGTTGTCACAGAGGGGTGAAGGATGGTTGAAGAGAGCCAGATATAGGTTTTGTGGGGCTTGAGTTTATACAATTAGAAGAATCCTTTAAGCAAAAAGTACAAAACTGCAGATAGAAAATTAGGTACAGGCATTGGAAGGACAGGCAGTGAAACTTCAGCTTCCTTAGCTTCACAGTTAATCTCTGGGGGCGAAGTAGGGCCAGTTCCCTGTCTGTGCCCGACTCTGCCTCTGTGGATGTAGGCTGACGCTTCCACCTGGAGCACTGGCTGCTCCAGGCTTCTCTGATAGCATGTTGCTTTGCTCTCCTCCTACCACTGGCCTCCCTGCCCTGGCTCTGCTCTGTCAGATCTCCAAATATGGGAGGGTGCCAGGGATTACTTGTAGACTTATTTTTTTTTATCTTTCTGCCTTCTTTCCCAAAATAGTTTTACTGAAATTTTAAGTAGGAGCTGTAGTCTAATAGGTCCCAAAACTACACACTGCCATCCTTTCCTTTATGCTTCTGCTTTTAAAAAAAAAATAACTACACTGTGATTTCCCTATTTATATATCTAAACAACATTTCCAACCTGGCAGACTTTGTCTGTCTTATTTGCACTGTATACCATGCCTAAAATGGTGACTGGCACAAAATAATACGTAACAAATATTCGTGTAGTGGATGGATACATGCACAACGATAGATCACTGGTGCCTCTGTTAGGGTTTGCATTTTAGCTGCTGGTAACAGAGACTCTGCTACAGTGTCTTAAACATGCAAGCATTTATTTTCTTATGTAGAGGTTTATCCAACATTATGAAAGAAGTCAGTCCAACATTCATTTGGCAACTCTCTCATGTCATTAAGGAGAAAACTGAGCTCCTTCTGTCTCTCTGCTCCATCCTACTCAACTTATGTCCTCAAGGTCACCTCTTGACCCATGATGGATGCTAATGCTCCAGACATTTCATCTGTATTAGAGGAAGCAATGGGAATGTCCCATCCTTTTAAAGAGTGTTATGGAGGGCAGCCCGGGTGGCTCAGCGGTTTAGCGCCTGCCTTCGCCCCAGGACGTGATCTTGGAGTCCCAGGATTGAGTCCCACGTCGGCTCCCTGCTCCCTGCATGGAACCTGCTTCTCCCTCTGCCTGTATCTCTGCCTCTCTTTCTCTCTCGTTCTCTCTCTCTCTCTCTCTCTCTCTCTCTGTCTCTGTCTCTCATGAATAAATAAATAAGATCTTTAAAAAAATAAAGAGTGTTATGGAAATGCCATTTTACAATTAGGCTACATTTCATTGGTCACAGTTGAAGAACAGGCCATTCTTAGGGGCAAAGGCAGTTGAGAAACATACAATTGCAGCTAGATGGCTATTGGTTCTATTACCAAGGAAGAAGGGGAGAATGGATATCAGTAAGCAGCTAGCAGGGGCTGCTATAGTTAGATTTGGTGAGTTGGAAGTATTTGAACCTTGAAAGTTCAAGGAGTGAGTTTCAGTAGAGTAGCAGATATGGAAACCAGGCAGTAGTGGGTAGGAAATGAGGAAATTTAAGAAGAGAAAATAGGATACATTTGTAAGAAGTGTGGCAGTGAAGGGAAAGAGAGAAGTAGTACGGGAATTCATAGGGACTAAAGTGTCAAATGAGTTTTTTGTAATCCAAGAAAGTGTTTGGAGAGACATAGTGATGAAGTATACAGGAGGCTGGTGGGGATGGAACCAAGGAAGAAAGAAGAGAAAGGATGAAGATAGAAAATATTAGAGTTTATAAGGGAACACATGACAGCTGAACTTGATTCTTGGGGAGACTAGTGAAATATATTAGGAACATGTACCTGTTATACATGCTCTGGTTCATTCCACAATGGGTTAGAGACAGCTACTGTAATACATACTATAAACTAGAAAATTTGTTTACCACTTAGGATTCAATCAGAGAAACAAAAGCAGTAGGAGATATATGGGTGTTATGAATTTTATTGCAAGAAAGTGTCTCTTGTGATCATAGAGGCTGGCTAGGCAAGTATGAAATCCCTAAAACAGGCCGTCAGGAAGGGCAGGCTGGAAGTCTTGGGCATGGGGTGAAGACGCTGTCCACAGGTGGAATTTCTTCTTCATCAGGGAATCTTCCACTCTGCTCTTAAGGCCTTTCAACTAGTTGAATCATATCTACCCAGATAATTTAGGATTTAGGATAATCTCCTTATCTTAAAGTCAACTGGTCACAGACTCTAATCACAACTACAAAATACCTTCACAAAAACACCTAAATGAGTGTTTGATTGAAAAATGGAAGAATGTAGCCAAGCTAAGTTGACTCATCCAAAGAACATCACAGTATATATGATGCAAATTCAAGGTCAGGGAACATGCGAATTAGAAATAGAGTATCAGATTGAAGGAAAGAAATATATGAATGTGTGGACCAAATAAATGAAAGCAAAACAAAAGGGAAATAAGATCATTTGTGTGGCCTTTTAAGTCCCCAGGGAAAGTAAAGTCTTCCTGGCACCTACCACTAGCACCTAGCCTCTAGGGACACCTAAGGGAATGGCTCCTCAATACAGCTGGGCTGACATGGGCATTCCAGCTCCCCACTAGGCCTCCATTGATACTTCCCTAGCTGGGCAGGGAGTGGGGAGGTGTATGTGTGGGGGTAGGAGCATCTTATTACTGTGACCTCTTCCCCAGTGACCTCTGCTGACATCAGAGTGAGGAGGAGGAGGCAGGGCAGAGAAGTGGCCTCCTTTTTTGGGGTGCTGGAAAAAATCCCAACTCTCCTTTAGGCTCCATCTAATACCACCATATCAGGGAGAGAGAGGGGCAGCTTATTATTGCTGGGTGGGGTGGAAGTCTAG